GGCTCTGGGCCCAGGCTGCAGCTCCCAGGGCCGGCTGGGCCTTCCCCGTGGTGTATCGCTGATAAACCACCGCTGCCTCTTTCTCTCTCCCTTTCTCTGCAGAGAGACTCTGGGGGGAACGGAGACATCCCAGATTTCTCCACCCTTCCATCTGCAGGGGGTTCCATCCCCCCACCCTTGGGCCCACCTCAGTCCGGCCGTGGGCCTTCCCCTGCCCCACCCAGCCACGGCCGGGCAGGGGAGAGGCTGCGCTGAGCGCTGAGCGGAACCAGAGAGAGCGAGTTCTGCTGGGAATTCTGCTTGGAACCCCTCGCTGTTCTCAGAGCCGTGTCCACCTTCAGTTGGTCAATGTCCAAACTGACCTCTTCCTTCCCAGAAAATTCATTTTCCGTCTCAAACCGCGACAGCGCCCCAGGCTGGGAGTTCCTCCAGCCCAGGCCCAGCTCTGGAGCTCCCCGCGGGTTTTCTGTCCATAAAAGCCCCAAACCACCAGGATTCAGCCCAAATTCAGATTTGGGGTCCCTCAGGCTCCGGACATCCCCTCCCCACACACGAAACCCTCCCGGTGCCCCACAGAGATTTTGGGGCTCGATCCCGGAATCTGCGAGCCGCAAACCCCCCCAAGGGAAAATCCCGGCCCGGGGACCCCCCGAGGGATTTGGGGCGAGCTCCCCCTCCCCGCTGGCTGCGGGATTTGGGGAGGGGGCGATGCTGAGGGGGCCGGGGGGCTGCGGGTGCAATGGGGGGCTGGGGAACCGCGGGGTTCCGGGGCTGCTTCTCTTCCTCCTCCTCCTCCTCCTCCTCCTCCTCCTCCTCCATCCCTCTGTCCCCCTCCCTTTTCCCAAACCCGTCCCCACCGCCCCCCAAACCCCTCCCCCCAACCCGCCCCCCAAAAACGGCCCCGGGGCCAACTGGGAAGCTTTATTGGGAGCACTGGGAGCGGGCGGGCGGGGGCAGAGCGGCAGCGGGGCTGGGGGGACACGGGACCCCCCCAAAATCCCCGCGGGGACGGAGCGGGGGGTCCCGGCCGGGCCCAAGGCCGCGGGGAGCGGCTGCGGCCGCCGGCGGCTCAGGAGCTCTGCGGGCAGAGAAAAGGGGGTGAGGCCGGGCCGGGGGCCCCGGGGGGAGCGCAGCCGCTCCGGCCCGGGGGGGACACGACCCCCGGCACCCCCCCGGACCTTCTTGCGCAGGTAGAAGCCGAGCCCCAGCGCCAGGAAGAGCGAGCCCAAGACGAAGCCCCCGATGCCCGTCAGCATCTTGCTGCGGGCGGCGTCCGGCGGCATCTCTGGGGGGTCCGCGGGGCTCAGCGCCCCCAAAACCTCCCCCCGACACCCCCAGCCCCTCCCGCCGCCCTCCCGCTCGCCCCCCCGGCCCGGCCGGGACCCCCCGAAACCTCCCCCCGATCCCTGCCAGCCACACCCGGCACCCCCAAACTCCCTCCCAGCCACACCCGGCACCCCCAAACTCCCTCCCAGCCACACCCGGCACCCCCAAACTCAATCACAATTAAAATCAGACCCCCTAAAATCCCTCCCAGTCATACCCAGCACCTCCAAACCCACTCCCAGTAAATCCCAGCACCCCAAAACTCCCTCCCAGTCACACCCGGCACCCCCAAACTCGATCACACTTAAAACCAGACCCCCCAAAATCATTCCCAGTCACTCCCAGCACCCCCAAATTCCTTCCTAATAAATCGCAGCACCCCCAAACTCCCTCCCAGTAAATCTCAGCACCCCCAAACTCCCTCCCAGTAAATTTCAGCACCCGTAAACCCACCCCGAGTCACTCCCAGCACCCCAAAACTCCCTCCCAGCCACACCCGGCACCCCCAAACTCCCTCCCAGCCACACCCGGCACCCCCAAACTCCCTCCCAGTCACACCCGGCACCTCCAAACCCACACCCAGTAAATCCCAGCAACGCAAAACTCCCTCCCAGCCACACCCGACACCCCCAAACTCCCTCCCAGCCACACCCGGCACCCCCAAACTCCCTCCCAATCACACCCAGCACCCCCATACCCCCTCCCAGTGCCCACCAGCACCCCCCCAAGCCCATCCCACCCTCCCCAGCACCCCCCAAAGCCCTTCCCAGCCCTCCCCCAGCCCCCAGCCCCTCTCCCAGTTGCCGGCCGGCTCTCTCCAGCTCCCTCCCAGTGGCTCCCAGCCCCCGCCCGCGGCTCTGGCCCGGCCCCAGCGGCTCCCCCGTACCCCAGCTCTGGCTCAGGGGGTGCTCCAGGCTGCCGTGCTCCACCTGGCAGCTGTAGGTGAGCCCGCGCCGGGGGGGGGTTTCCAGCAGCACCAGCAGCTGGTAGCTCCAGTCCCCGTTGGGGACCACCTCGGTGGCCACCACGTGCTCCGAGAGCTCCTGCTGGCCCTGGAACCACCTCACCTGGATCGGGGCAGGGTAGAAATCCAGCACGGAGCAGAGCAGGCGGCCGGGGCCGGGCTGGGAGCTCGAGGGCACCAGCGAGATGGAGACGCTGGGGGGCACTGGGAGAGAGAGAGCGGGGACGGACTGGGATCGGCTGGGGGCACTGGGAGAGGGAGGGGAGGGACTGGGCTGGGGCTGGGGGGGACTGGGAGGGACTGGGATGGGGTGAGAAGGAATGGGAATTGAGTGGGAATGGACTGGGATGGACTGGGACGGAGAAGGAATGGACTGCAATGGACTGGGAGGGACTGGGAGGGACTGGGAATGGACTGGGAGGGACTAGGAGGGACTGGGAGGGATTAGGGATGGGACTGGAAGGGACGGGGGGGATTGAGAATGAACTGGGAATGGCATGGGAGGGTCTGGAAATGTACTGGAATGGACTGGGAATATGCTGGGAGGGACTGGGATGGATTGGGATCAACTGGGATTAATTGTGAGGGACTGGGAATGGATTGGAATGTACTGGGAGGGACTGGAAATGCACTGGGATGGACTGGGACAGACTTCCCATCAACTGGGAATGGACTGGGATGGACTGGGGGAGACTGGCGTGGACTGGGAATGTACTGGGAATGCACTGGATGTTATTGGGAATGGAGTGGGTTGGAAAAGGAGGGTCTGGCAATGGACTGGAATGGACTGGGATGGACTGGGAGGGACTGGGGAAGGCTGGAATTGACTGGAAATGGATGGAAAATGGACTGGGAATGGACCAGGAACACACGGGGTGGGACTGGGAATGGGTTGGGGTGGACTGGGATGGAAAAGGAGGGATGGGGAACAGACTGCAAGGGACTGGGATGGACAGGGAATGGACTGGGATTAACTGGGAATGGGCAGAGATTGGACTAGGAGGGACTAGGAGGGACTGGGAGGGACTGAGAATCTTCTGGGAATGGATTGGGAATGGACTGGGAATGGGTTTGGAATGGATTGATTATGGACTTGAAATTGTGTTGGAATGGACTGGGAAAGACTGAGCATGGAATGGGAATGGACTGGGACGGACTGGGACGGACAGGGAATGGACTGGAATGGACTGGGAGGGACTTGGAGGGACTTGGAATGCTCAGCGATGGGACTGGGATGGACTGAGAATGGACTGGGAGCGACTGGGATGGGACTTGGAGGAAATGGAAGAGTCTGGAAGGTTCTGGGAGGGACTGGAAAGGAGTGGGATTGACTGGGAATGCACTCGGAGGAACCGGGAATGGACTGGGAGGGACTTGGCATTACCGGGATAGACTGGGAATGGGCTGGGATTGGACTGGGAGGGAATGGGGATGGACTGGGAGGGACTGGGAATGATCAGGAGCCCCCGGGGAGGGGCCCAGGGAGGGCTGAGGGCTCTGGGCCGATTCCCAGGGAGGTTCTGAGGGGCTCCGGGGTCGTTGGCAGGGCCGGGCCCGAGGGGACACGCTCTGCCCCGCGCTCACCTCGGCGCTCCATGAGGAACGGGTCGTACCAATCCCGGCAGAACCAGTCCACAGTGGTGCGCTGATGCTCCATCCATTCCGGGTCGATGTTCGCCTCCCTGGCAAACTTCTCCCCATAGGGGGTGAACCCCACGTGCTCCCCCACGTCGCTGTCGAACATCATGTACTGCAGTCGGTTGTAGATGTAGCGCTCCACGAACCTCACCTTCTCCGTGCCGTTCGTGAAGTAGCACTCGGCCTTAAACATGTGCTGGAACACCCCTGTGAGTGCAGGACACAGCTCAGGGGGTGCCCCCCCCAGCTCCCCCCCAGCACCCCCAGAGCTCCGGGGCCCACCCCGGATCCCCACTCCGCACCCCCTGTGCCCCACGGCCGCCCTGGGACCCTCCTGCCCGCGCTGCCGCTTCCTCTTGGCCGCCCTTCCCCCATTTCCCCTTCCGCATCCTCTCCCCTCCCGCCTCCGGCCGCACCCCAAAATCACTGCTGGGCTCCCGAATTTCCCACTTTCCCACCCATTTTAACACTATTGTCCCAACCCCCAGCCCCTCGGGCTCAGATTTGGGGTCCCCCCTCCCAATTTCCCCCCTCCCCCACCCTCCCCGCCCCTCCCGCTCTCCCTTTGGGGGTCCCCTCCTCCTCCCCCTCCATCCCGGGCTCCCCCTTTTCCCCCTGTTCCCCCTTCTCCCCCCCGGCCCAGCGCCTCCCGCGCCCCCCGCTCACCCGAGAGCTCCGCGCCCGCAGCCGGGGCGGCTCCCAGCGCCACCAGTGCCACCAGCACGGCCCCGGCTGCCGCCCCTCGCCCCATGGCAGCGCCGCACCGGCACCACCAGCCCCGCAGCGGCCGCGCTGGACTGGAGGAACCAGCCCGGAGCAGCGCGGGGTCATTAGCGACGCGCTCCCTGATTGGTCGGGCGTGGTTTTTGGCCGCGATCTCATTGGTTTCCGTTTTTTTTGGCTCCTCTATGATTGGCCGAGGCGCTTTTTCCGCGCTCTAATTGGCCGGTTCCGTTGGGAGCCCGATTTTCAGACGCTCTACCCAGCAACCGATGACTCATCACCGTCCCTCGCTCTGATTGGCTGCAATTTTCTAGGGAGCTCACTTTTTCAAGCCTCTACCCGGCAACCGATGACGACACAGCCACGCCGCGCTCCCATTGGCTGCGCGCTTTTTGGGGTGCTGCTCCCCCACTCCCGGTCCCCCCAGTTGGGCGCCGCTTTCCCGGGAGCAGCACCGGCCCTTCCCCGTGTCCCGGGAGCCCGAGGCGCCATGGACGGAGCGCGGAGCCTCCCGCGGCTGCTGCCGCTGCTGGCCCTGACCCTGCCCGCGGGTTGGGGGGTCCAAGGTGGGGTTTGGGGGGTCCCGGAGCCGCGGGGTTGGGATTTGGGGTTCCCTGTATTTGGGGCGGGTCGGGAGTGAAGGGGTTAAAGGGCTCCAACCCCTTTGCTCGCGTTTTTTGGGGGATTTTTGGGGGGTTTTGGGGGAAGGGCGTGGTCCCGAGATGGTTTTTTGGGGTTTTTTTTTGCCCCTATTTCGCCATTTTGGGGGTTGGGTGTGGCCGAATTCCGCTTTTTTCCAGGATTTTGGGGCTCTGGGATTTCCCAACCCCCCCCTGTCCCCGGGATTTTGGGGGGCTGGGCGTGCCCGGACCCCCCTGTTCCAATTATTGGGGGGGGCTGGGAATGCCCAAACCCCCCTGTACCCGAAATTTGGGGAACTCAAACCTTCCCAAATCCTCTTTTCCCGAGGTTTTAGGGTTCTGAAAGTGCCCAAATTCTTCTTTTTCCATGATTTTGGGGATCTGGGAGTGCCCAGACCCCCCTGTACCCAAAATTTGGGGAACTGGGAATTCCCAAATCCCATTTTTCTGGCATTTTTACAGATCGAGGGTGCCCAAAATCCTTTTTTTCCTTTATTTTGGGGATCAGGGAGTGCACAAACCACCCTGTACCCAAAATTTGGGGCACTGAGAATTCCCATATCCTCTTTTTCCTGGAATTTTTGGCATCTGGAAGTGCCCAAATCCCAATTTTTCTATGATTTTTAGCCTCTGGAAGTGCCCAAATCCCAATTTTTCCACGATTTTGGGGCTCTGGAAGTGCCTATATCCCAATTTTTCCAGGATTTTGGGGTCTGGAAGTGCCAAAATCCCTCTTTTCCCAGGAATTTTCATGCATAAAATTATAATAAATTATGTATATTTAAATAACGGTATGGTCATATATTATTAGAATATTAAAATATCTATGAAATTTTATAATTATTAATGAACATCAGTCCCGTTCTTGCTCTTCCTTTTCCGGCTCCTCCTCCTCTGTCCTTCCTCTTCCTTCAGGTTCCTCCTCCTTGTTCTGGTTTGGCACCGGCACAACGCCAGCGCCCCATGAAAATCCAACCGATCGATGGAACGCTGTGAAACGCCATCGGGAACGGAGCAAAGCAGCCCCAACTTAATAACAAAGGAAAGACTTTATTACACCACTACTGCTACTGCTATAAAAGGAAAAGAAAGGGAAGGAAAATAAACCACACAAAATTCAAAATGAAAACCTTCTAAAACATTCCTCCTCCCACCACCCAACTCCACCAACCCACAGCGAGACCCAGTTAGATCTTTAATCAAGTTTTCACCCTTCAATATAATCAATACTGAGTCCATCGGGGAGAGAGGAGTCCCCCTGCACCACAGACCCCCAGGAAACACAGCTGCCACCTCTTGTGTTTCTATGTCACACGTGGCACTGCCCAGACCCACCGGCCAGTGTGACACTCTCCTCTCCATGTCACAGCGCTCTCACCACCGGGCATGGACAGAGATGCTCACAGGGCCCCTTTAAGGATGCTCTGCCAAGGACCACCAGGAACAACAGTCCAGTGTCGCATTTCGGGACTAGAGTCCCCCCCATTCTCCCCTGGGGCCGAGGGGCCAAGGACAGAGATCTCCTTCTCTTCTTCTCTGAAGACGGAGGGCATCCTCACACCCTCCTCAGCTCTCTCTGTCCATTTTTAAACCAGCAGTTACTGAAAGAATCTCTTGGCTCACCAGAGCATCCCCTAAAATGCAGTCCCGCTTGAAAAGAGGAGTGGTTCAGTCTATGGTGAACAAGCAGAGTCCAGCCAAAAGCCACTCCATCATCTCCCCCCAACCTTCTTCTCTGAACATCTAAAGTTCTAAACTGTCCCTCTTTCTTTCAAATTAAAGAAGAGGAATATTTCATAAAGCCTTCATTGCACAGGAAAGGGTTAAAATTCCCGGACTCCGTCTCCCATCTCCCACTCTGGGCATCTTTTCCCCCCTTCTCCTTCTCCTCTGCCGGCAAACTCCCGGCTGTCTGCTGCTCTCTGTCTCTTTTCCCTGCGGCTTAGGGAGGGGAACAAAGACACCCCAGATGTTCTCCACCCTTCCGTCCGCAGGAGCTGGCCCAGCTCGGTTCCGATCCTTCACCCCCTGGCCCACCTCTGCAGGCCGAGTTCTCCTGGGAATTCCGCTCTGAACCGCTCTGAGCTCTCAGAGCCGTGTCCACCTTCGGTTGGTCACCCCAATGTCACTATCCACACCTGACCCCTGACTGCATTGACCTCTTCCTTCCAAAAACCAAAATTCTCTTCCCTTGTCAAACCACGACACTAATTAAGAAGTGGCACCTAAATTGTTTCCGTTTCTAACCCAATAACTGACCGCTAAAGAGCCGCAATGCGGATTTTTCTACCCAATTACAAGATACCAGACAGACCTAATAAGAAGAAGGAATGAAAAAGAAGAAAGGAAGTCGAGACAACACCCTGTGCCCTCAATCTTGTACCTATATAAAATATACTAAAAATCCTTAAACCTGAATTTATAACCCTCTATCCTCCAACTTGAACCCATTTATAACATCCTAAAAATCCTAAAATCTAAATTTCTCACCCTCTATCCGCCAACTTGAACCCATTTATAACATCCTAAATATCCTAAAATCTAAATTTCTCACCCATGTGACACACTAAACTACTCCCTACGATCTATTTCGAATTTTTGTGGTTCACTTTGAGGCTTTGGAAGTTTTCTCCATGAATGAGGGTCAAAGTCAGAGTTTTCCTGGGAGACACAGGGGGATGTTCCCAATGCACACAGGGGGATGTTCCCAATGCACACAGGGGGATGTTCCCAATGCACACAGGGGGATGTTCCCAATGCACACAGGGGGATGTTCCCAATGCACACAGGGGGATGTTCCCAATGCACACAGGGGGATGTTCCCAATGCACACAGGGGGATGTTCCCAATGCACACAGGGGATGTTCCCAATGCACACAGGGGGATGTTCCCGGGGCACACAGGGGGATGTTCCCAATGCACACAGGGGGATGTTCCCGGGGCTCTCAGGGGGATGTTCCCCATTCCTTGGGCTTCCCGCACCCCGGGAATGACAAATCCCGCTCAGGGCTGCCGAAAGCCGGAGCGCTCCCGGCGCTGGAGATCGCAGCCGGCCGCGGGAATCGATGGGAATCGCCGGGGCCGTTGAGCAGCGACGCTTCGAAGGCGGTGGCGGCCCCGGCTTCCTGCGGGGGCTGAGCCGGGAGCGGCTCCGGTTGGGCCGGGAAAGGCTCGGGAGGGCAGGAGGGGAGCGGCGGCCCCGGGGCTGCAACGCTGCGGGGGCTGCGTGAGCGCAGAAACCCCAAAACAGCGCGAGGGAGCCCAAAAACCGTCCTGGGAGTTCCCCTCTCCTCCTCCTCCTCCTCCTCCTCCTCCTCCATCCCTCTGTCCCCCTCCCTTTTCCCAAACCCGTCCCCACCGCCCCCCCAAACCCCTCCCCCCAACCCGCCCCCCACAAACGGCCCCGGGGCCAACTGGGAAGCTTTATTGGGAGCACTGGGAGCGGGCGGGCGGGGGCAGAGCGGCAGCGGGGCTGGGGGGGACACGGGACCCCCCAAAATCCCCGCGGGGACGGAGCGGGGGGTCCCGGCCGGGCCCGAGGCCGCGGGGAGCGGCTGCGGCCGCCGGCGGCTCAGGAGCTCTGCGGGCAGAGAAAAGGGGGTGAGGCCGGGCCGGGGGCCCCGGGGGGAGCGCAGCCGCTCCGGCCCGGGGGGGACACGACCCCCGGCACCCCCCCGGACCTTCTTGCGCAGGTAGAAGCCGAGCCCCAGCGCCAGGAAGAGCGAGCCCAAGACGAAGCCCCCGATGCCCGTCAGCATCTTGCTGCGGGCGGCGTCCGGCGGCATCTCTGGGGGGTCCGCGGGGCTCAGCGCCCCCAAAACCCCCCCCCGACACCCCCAGCCCCTCCCGCCGCCCTCCCGCTCGCCCCCCCGGCCCGGCCGGGACCCCCCGACCCCCCCCCCCGATCCCTGCCAGCCACACCCGGCACCCCCAAACTCCCTCCCAGCCACACCCGGCACCCCCAAACTCCCTCCCAGTCACACCCGGCACCCCCAAACTCCCTCCCAGCCACACCCGGCACCCCCAAACTCCCTCCCAGCCACACCCGGCGCCCCCAAACTCCCTCCCAGCCACAACCAGCACCCCCAAAATCGATGACAATTAAAACCAGACCCCGTAAAATCCCTCCCACGCACATCCAGCACTCCTAAACCATTTCCCAGTACATCCCAAACGCTCAAATTCTTTCCCAAACTCCCAGCACCCCCAAACTGGATCGCAATTAAAACCAGACCTTCTAAAATCCTTCCCAGACGTTCCCAGCATCCCCAAACTCCCTCCCAGCCACACCCGGCACCCCCAAACTCCCTCCCAGCCACACCCGGCATCCCCAAACTCCCTCCCAGCCACACCCGGCACCCCCAAACTCCCTCCCAGTAAATTCCAGTACCCCCAAACTCAATCACAATTAAAACAAGACCCTCTAAAATCCTTCCCAGTCATACCCAGCACCCCTAAACCCACTCCCAGTAAATCCCAAAACTGCCAAACTCCTTCCCAGCCACACCCGGCACCCCTAAACTGTATCCCAGTACATCCCAACACGCCCAAATTCTTTCCCAGTCACACCCGGCACCCCCAAACTCCCTCCCAGTCACACCCAGCACTCCCAAACCCCCTCCCAGTGCCCCCCAGCACCCCCCCAACCCCATCCCACCCTCCCCAGCACCCCCCAAAGCCCTTCCCAGCCCTCCCCCAGCCCCCAGCCCCTCTCCCAGTTGCCGGCCGGCTCTCTCCAGCTCCCTCCCAGTGGCTCCCAGCCCCCGCCCGCGGCTCTGGCCCGGCCCCAGCGGCTCCCCCGTACCCCAGCTCTGGCTCAGGGGGTGCTCCAGGCTGCCGTGCTCCACCTGGCAGCTGTAGGTGAGCCCGCGCCGGGGGGGGGTTCCAGCAGCACCAGCAGCTGGTAGCTCCAGTCCCCGTTGGGGACCACCTCGGTGGCCACCACGTGCTCCGAGAGCTCCTGCTGGCCCTGGAACCACCTCACCTGGATCGGGGCAGGGTAGAAATCCAGCACGGAGCAGAGCAGGCGGCCGGGGCCGGGCTGGGAGCTCGAGGGCACCAGCGAGATGGAGACGCTGGGGGGCACTGGGAGAGAGAGAGCGGGGACGGACTGGGATCGGCTGGGGGCACTGGGAGAGGGAGGGGAGGGACTGGGGTGGGACTGGGGGGGACTGGGAGGGACTGGGAGCGACTGGGAATGGACTGGGAGGGAATAAGAATGTACTGGGATGGACTGGGAATGGACTGGGAATGGAATGGAAGGGACTGGGAGGGACTCAGAATGGGCTGGGAGGGACTGGGAGGGACTGGGAATGGACTGGGAATGGTGTGGGAGGGTCTGGCAATGAATGTAGTTGAATGGACTGGGAATATGCTGGGAGGGACTGGGAGGGATTGGGATCAACTGCAAGACCCTGGGATTGACTGGGAATGGACTGAGAGAGACTGGGATGGATGGGATTGGACTGGGGAAGGGTGGAATTGTCTGGAAATGGATGGAAAATGGACTGGGAATGGACCAGGAACACACGGCGTGGGACTGGGAATGGGTTGGGGTGGACTAGGATATACTGGGATGGACTGGGAGGGACTGGGATAGACTGGGATGGACTGGGAGTGGCAGAGAATGGACTATGAATGGACCTGGAATACAATGGATGGAACTGGGAATGGACTGAGCTGCAAATGCAGGGATGGGTACAGACCTGGAATGGACTGGGATGGACTGGGAGGGTCAGGAGATCCCAGGGATGCGCCCAGGGAGGTTTCGAGGGGCTCCGGGGTCGTTGGCAGGGCCGGGCCCGAGGGGACACGCTCTGCCCCGCCCTCACCTCGGCGCTCCACAGTGAACGGGGCGTCAACCTGGTAGTTGCGCCGGCAGTACCTGTCCACCGCAGTCCGTATGAACTCCATCCATTCCGGGTTGCTGTTCCTGTACTGGGCCTGTTCCTCCCCATAGGGGGTGAACCCCACGTACTCCCCCACGTCGCTGTCGAACATCAGGTACTGCTGTCGGTTGTAGATTTGCCTGTCCACCAACCTCACCTTCTCCGTGCCGTTCGTGAAGTGACACTCTGATATTCCCATCTCCTGGAACACCCCTGTGAGTGCAGGACA